AATAACTCTCTTCCTAACTCTTCTCTTGACCATATCTCTCGATATAATCAAAATAACCTTAATATAACGAATGTCAATGAAATGATTGTAAACACAACAAATTTAAGATACATGATTGTGACGAAAAATGAACAATGTATGAAAAATCAAACAAATTTATTTAATAAAAAAAATTTACAAACCAAAAAAATTTTTTTTCATGTTCTAATAAAATTTCTATTGTTGCTGTCATCTGTTGTTGCTGATTCAACATCTCCTCAACATCAACATAAACATGTCATGTTGACTTCTCTCTTCCCTTCCCGGCATGATCACATCATGATCGACAGAGAATATTTATCATAACGCAAATTCCTTTTTAGATAAAATTACCAAAAAGACATCTTTAAAAAAAAATCCTGAAATAAAGATTGAATGTTGCACCGGGTTAATTTCTTACTAACACAAATAAATTTCATTTTTACGCACAACATTATTATTATTATTATTATTTGCAATTCACATGCGTGAAATTCAAATTAGCCAATCAGAATTTCATACTATATACCCCAAAATTTTTTAAAATTTAGATTAATCCTGAATTAGAAAATTAAAATTTTTTTTGGTTATATTTTTTTATATGTATGTTTTCATGTCAATGTAAATTCATTTCATCAATGATCCAATTATTTTTGTTTTTAAAACAAGATGAAATAAATGAATTACATAAAATTTAAAAAACTAAGACTAAAAACTGAAAAGTGAATATGCTTTATATTAAAAAAAAAATCATTTGTTAGCTTTGTTTTTTTGAATCATTTATCTTGTTGTTATTTATTTCTTGATAGACCAAAATTTTTGTATCATCCATAATAAGATATTGAGATCTCCAAACATGGTACATATTCATGAATGTTTTCATTATTGGTTCTTTTGATTCACGTATTAATTGTGGATATTGACTTTGAAAAGCTTTTGTAGCATTTGTGAGATAATAATGAGGAATTGAAGGAAACAGATGATGAACCTGATGTGTTCCAATGGTATGAACCACATTATGAAGTAGACCATAGTCACGATCCACAGAGGAAAGATTTCCAAGCACATAAGACCATTGTTCATCAGCATACCAAGGAAGTTTTAAATTATTTTCAACACCATGATGATGTAAGAATGTTGTTATTACTAACCAAGAAGCAAATACAAACCAAGGAAGAAAATAATATTTTATGATGTTCCAAGATCCATAAAGTGTTGATAAGTGATAAAATAGTGCTAAAAATGATAAAACGCTGATCACTGAAATAAAGGCACCAACACGATGATTTTTAAAAAATGGATTTAATGGGTTCATATGACAGATGGATCTTGGACCATAACCTATTATCAAATAAACAATCCAACCAATACCAAAAGCAAAATAAGGTGCAACAAATGTTTCTTCTTTGCCACTGAGTGTTTTTTTTGTATCAGATTTCCTCACAGGAAAAAATACTTCATCTTTATCAATATTACCAGTATTTTTATGATGGTGACGATGACTTAACTTCCAAGGAGTATATGGAACAAGAATTAACAGATGTAGAAAAGTGCCAACTATGTCATTAAACATAGGATAACGACTGAAACTTCCATGTCCACAATCATGACCCAATACAAATATTGCCCAGAACATTGTTCCTTGGGCAAATGAGTAAGTTGGAAGAATTAACAAATTTTTGATGATTTCAGGGATCAAGGTTGTTTTATCAACGAAAAAATATAGAGAGAATAATACTGCTATTATTGTTAAATCTAAAATTACATATTGCAATGATTTTAATATTGTTGGAGAGAAACATTGTGAAGGAATTTGTTTTTTTATTTCAATAATTGATGGTACTGTTTCTTTGGTGAATATTTGAGAAGTATTAGAAGACGTTGTATCTACCAAAGTTTCAGCTGGTGGAGCCATTGTAAAAAAAATTTTATAATTTGATAAAAATTTTTTATTTAGTCAAAAATCAAAAAAAAAAATTTTTTGGGTTGACACAAAATATCTTCGTAATGGTCAAAGATTTTCTCATTTCTAACCATATATATATGTTAAAAAAATATACACATGTCATGCAAAGGAGTGCAAAAGTGCAAGAGTGAAAAGTAATTATATTTGAATTAATTATTTTACATGTTATGTATTTCTACTTCAAAGGATAAAAAAGTAATAAAATTATATTTATTTGGATGAAAAGGCCAATTTTTATATTATAATGTATTTTTCTGGAAAGAAATCAAACTGACAAATGTTAAAGCAAAATAAAAATATAATAATTGAAATAATACAATGAAATTTTTTTTTAAACATATTAAAAATTTTGACTATTAAAAATTTGAGAGAAATAATATTACAATTGTTACAAGAAATAAAAATTGAGGAGGATAGGCATTTCACTAATGTTGCATCAGTCCAATGGAATGGAGCTGTACATTGGACAATTAATCAAAATTCAGAATTCAAATTCCTAAATCTTTTCAAAGATAGAAAATTTTGATTGTCATCACCATGATTATTTATTATTATTATTATTATTATTATTATTATTATTATTGTTACTATTATTATTACTATTATTATTATTTTAAAATTGCTCTTTTAAAAACAATTAATACATTTATTTAAAAAAAAAAAAAAACAATCAATCAATTTTACTGTTAAGTTCTATTTTTTTTTATCTCTATACATTCTACCAATAAATTTACCAAGTTCACTGATTATCAATTGAATAATAACACATATTGCGATTTTTGCCCAACCAAATGCTGGCACAGGTGTTAAATCCAACCATTCTCTTAATCCTACACAAATCAGTCAGTTAATGAAAGTTATTTAAAATTATTATTATTATACATGAAAAAATAATTTTATTTGCTTTACCTGGAACATAAATACCAAGTAATAATGCTATAAAAGATCCAACCACACTAACAATCATCCACTATTTGTTTTTTCAAAAAAAAGTTTTTTTTTTTTTAAATTTTAAAATTATAATGATAATGAATATATTTCATAATATGTATGTGTATGTGTACCTTATTAGTAAAGAATCCAGTTTTAAAAACACTTTCATATAAAGTTCTAGAAAAAAAACCTTGTATTAATTGCATAGAAGTTAAAGTGGCAAAAGCTAAAGATCTAGCATCAGCTAATTCGATATGTTCTATTGGGGACAAAGCTATTATGAATACACCAAATGATAGTAATGCCATTACAAATGATTGGGTTATTAGTATAGTTGTTGCATATAAATCTAAAACCCCGGCATTTGGATTTCTTGGTTTACGTTTCATTATATCTTTTTCTACTGGTTCAACTCCCAATGATATTGCAGGTGGAATATCAGCTAAAAACAGACATATGCATACACATAAATATAAATTAATTAAATAGTTAATGATGACCTTTTCTTGTTTAAAAAATAACCAGTGTTCAATTACCAATGATATTAGCCCACAAAATCATAATAGTGGTGAAAGGTAGATCAAGATTAATCACAGCACAAATTAACATTATTATAATTTCAGCAGAATTACAGCTTAATAAATACACAATAAATTTCAAAATATTATCAAAAACACGTCTTCCTTCTTCAACTGCCGCAACTATGGTTGAAAAATCATCATTTGATAATATAATATCTGCTGCTTGTTTTGTTATTTCTGTCCCACTCAATCCCATTGCTACTCCTACATCTGCTGCTTTTATTGCTGGTGCATCTATTATTTAAAAAAAATGAATGATTATTATTATTATTATTATTATTATTATTATTATTATTATTATAAAATTTTAATTATATAAATATATATATTTACCATTAACACCATCTCCTGTCATTGCTACTATATTTTTTAGATTTTGTAATGCTTTAACAATTTTTAATTTATTATCTGGACTTGATAAAAGAAATTTTTATTTATTTTTAAAAAAAAAACCATATTCATAAAAAATTTTTCTTGAAAAATAAAATATTTATTATTTACCTTACACGAGCAAAAACAGTTGGAAATGGATTTAATTCTGAAATTGCTTCATCTGATAAAAGGTCAAGTTCTGCACCGCGAATTGCATAATCCTATAATAATAATAATTATTATTATTATAATCTTGATACTATTAAACTTATTACCCTTTGGTCTAAAATTTTAATCAAAATTGCCTACCTTATTTTGTGATGAATTTGAATCAAGTATACCGATATCTGTAGCAATAGCAGTAGCAGTAGCAATATGATCACCAGTTATCATTATAACTTTTATACCAGCCAATTTACATATTCTTATTGATTCCTTAACTGCTTTTTTTGGTGGATCAATCAATCCTATAAGACCAATAAATATTAAATTGTTTTCTTCATCTTTTCCTTCTAAATGATGGTTACTTGTTGATGTATTTGATTCCGATTCAATATTATCATTATCACCATCATTTATTGGAATATTATTTTTATCATCCTCCATATTAACATTTTCCTTTTCTGTTATAATTTTGTCATCCTCATTTTCATTGTTGTTGACAGTAAAAGTATTTATTGATTTAAGAGCCAATCCAAGTACTCTTAGACCTTTTGAAGCCATTCTTGAACTTTGATCAGAAATAAGATCGACAAATTCTTCAGTTAATGGTGAACTATAATTATCTTCAGAAATCGCATCAAAAATTTCTGCATTATTATTATTTGAAGATTTAATTTCAGCCATATAGTGTGTACATTTTCGTAAAAGTTCTTCTGGTGCACCTTTAGCCAATACTAAAAATTTATTTTTATTTTCTTCTTTTTTTTGTGATGGTGATGAGGAAGAAGAGTCTTTATTTATCTTATATACTACACTCATCAATTTTCTTTCACTGTCAAATGGTTTCTCATGAACTTTTAGAAAGTTATGATTATTCTCCCAATAACTTTTTGAAAATCCGCCTTTTTGTGCTGCAAGAACCAAAGCAACCTATAGATATATATTTATAAAATAATAATAATAATAAATAATAAATATTAAAAGTATAAATATGAACTTACTTCAGTTGGATCACCAATCCCTTTCCATTGTTTCTGAACATTATTATTATCACTACTATTGTTATTATTACTATTATTATCATTGTTTTTATTTTTATTTTTATTATTTTCATCATCATCATCATCTTCTATAATAGATGAATTATTACAAAGAGATGAAATCATAAGAGCAGAAAATAAGTGAGTGGAGGAGTCTTGAGGATTGCGAGACAATTCTTGTGGTTTAAATAATATACTATCAACATTTTTTTTTTCATTTTCATGATCATGATCATTATTATTATTGCTATTATCTATAGAGCTTGAATTTTGCAATGATGAATTTTTTAGAGCGTTTTGTTTCTGTTGTTGTTGTTGATTACGACACTCCAATGAATGAAATATAATTCCACCTTTGTTCGGATCTAGTGATGTTGGTTCGGTGAATGAATAAATGGAATTATCAGCAGTCCATAATTCACATGGTCCCATTTTTCCTTCAGTTAAAGTACCGGTTTTATCGGAACAAATAACAGTAACACTACCCAGTGTCTCAACAGCAGGTAATGTTCTCACAATTGCGCATCTAGCAGCCATACGTATAACACCTATGGCCATTGTAACTGTTGTAACAGCAACTAAGCCTTCAGGAACAACAGAAACTGCTAAACTGTAATATATATATTAAAATTTAATTATACTATGAATATATTTTTTCTATTAAAAAAATTTAAATACGTGCACACACTTTCTCTCCTCATTTGTCAACTTCTTTTTGATGGTGTGTGATCTTATTTATTTGCTAATTTCTTCAGACAACTTGTATTTCCCTCATTTATTACCTCCAAATTTCTGTGTTTTTTAACCTGCACCAACTCGATTCCGTTTTAAATTAAAAATAATAAATTAGGGATTGGAACCGTTGGGTGCATCTGGGTCATGAAAATGATCACCCGGTGGAAGAAAGACAATAATAAATTAACATATCCATATAATATTTATGGTTTTCTAAAATGCTAACTTATGATTCCTCTTGAACATATTATGTTTAAGTATCTATTACAACCAATGTATGAAATTTGCCATAATGCAAATTTAATTGTGCATGTATCATTATCTATTGATATCTATTTTGCTGATTTTTGTATTGCACTATCTCCCCAACTAAATTCTATACACTGATTACAACTATAGTTCTTAAAGGTTTTTCAATGATTAATCTACTTGCAAATTTAATTATTTTGAGTAATTCAATAATTGATTGTGAAAATTTGATGTACAGTTAACAAATTTATTATAAAATTGTAAATAATAATTTAATCAAAAATATTGTTGTAATTATCTTGCAATGACACTATCAATTTGTCATTTCTTTTATTTTTTTATTAATTAACAATTAAGAGATTGTTGAGTTCTTTTTCATGTAAGATCAATTGTTTCTTATGTATAATTTTTGTTTCAAATTTATATTAGCATATTATTCTTGGTAAATAGATAATTACTTAAATGAAATGATAGCTCCAATTCAATCTGAAAGAGTTGATGTTTATCAATGGTGGAAGGACAATCAGAACCCTTTTCCCATTTTTAGTAGAGTTACACATAAAAACTTCTCAATTCCTGCCACCTCTGTTCCATGCGAGTGTTTTTTTTTCTTATGCAAGAAATTTGGTTACCTCTAAAAGAACATGTTTAGGGCATGAATTAATGAATCGGTTATTGTTTGTAAAAAGAAATAATTTATATTGCAAAGTTTGGGACCTGGTGTATGTGAAATTGGAACTGTGTGAAATCGAAATTTATAATTAAAATTTTGGGTTGGCGTTTGGATATGTGGAATTATTTCACAGTTGTAGATTGAAAAACAAAATGCAATTATTGCACCAGGTAAGTATTTGTTTTGACTTTCGAAACCAAAGGCAACTTTTTTAGAATTCATATGGTGTATATATTTGAATTAGATTCGAACCAAGTCGAATCGAATAAAAAATACGATATTTGATTTGTATTTGGTTTGATTCGTCCAGAGCTTGACTTTAAATCGATCTCTTTTTACAAAGAATTTAGGATTTGTTGGTTCGTAGAAATAAAAATCGATTTCTTTTAAAAATAAAAAATGCTGATTTGTTGGTTTACAGAGATAAAAATTCTTCAAGATGTTGAAAACAATCAGTCTGCTTTTTATTTGTCAAAGATGGATTTCTTTCCTATGATTTTTGCGGAAAAATACATTAATAATAACGGATATTTTTTCTAATTCCAATGATCCGTTATAGAGAGAGTGAACTGTAAGATTTGGAACAAATCAACAAAATTTGAACCAACATTCCCCTCTATTAGTGTTGGTATTGTATTTAGCATTAGTATCAAAATGCATTTTTCTAATGCATTCCATATCAAAAATATGTTTTTTCCGTGTGTATTTATTCTGCATCTATTCAACACTAGTACCTATTCTGTACATAATTTTTTATAAGGTTGTTGAAATAAGGTTTGACCGAATTTGCCTTATTCTAACACATTTTATTTTTAAAAATCTGGTTTGATTCAAATCAAATCAAATCAAGTCATGGAACGAATTGAATTGAATTGAATCCAGTTTTTTGAATTGGAATTGCTTTAATATTCAACTTGATTTGATTTGTTTGGAGCCTTAATAAGATAATTGACAAGAAGATTTATAAAGCAAAGAAGCATAAGCATGTAAAGAAATTGTCAATTATATAAATACATAAACATATATTATCATTTAATAAAAATAATAATAAAATATAATTCTAAAATCTAAATAGAGATATAAAAACTATATCACATTACTTGTTATAACATTGACAATTATATATATATATATATATATACAATTTACAAATAATAAATAATAATTAAATAAAAAAAAGGAAAGAGATGAAATAACTTCACAAAGTAATCAATCTTAAATTATAAATCAATAACTAATTACCAACAAACTTGACACAAACTGTCATCTGATTCCACCAACATCCAGCAAGCATCCCTCCCAAGATATGATAACATAATAACCAAAGGATTTCTAGCCTTTACCAACTTTTTTAATATTTCTGAATTCCCTACAAAGAAAGATTAAATATTTTGAACTTCTTTTTTGAATTATAAAATATTAATTTCAAGAATTAAAGATTTTATTTAGTCATACCTGAAATTGATTATTCTAGCACGTTTAGATTTCCTAATAACAAAAATAAAATACATCATTAATTTACATCAATAATCATTTATTCTTAAGGATTTCTACTAACAATAATTTAGCTCTAATTTTGGAGTCTCTTGACCAATTATACTCAACCATTTCCTAATTTTTTTTTTTTAGAATGTTAAAATGCATAATTAATTATTTGAATTCTTACAATTAATTATTATAAATATATAGCATAAATGTGTAAACAAAAATATATAATTAGTACAAATATTTACATTTGTATTAGTACAAAATGCCACTTACATCTATAATCTCTTTGATTTCAGTATTCAATTCATTCCATTTATTCAAAAAATACAATTCTAAAAAGAAATGCTCCATAATAGGATTATATAATTCATCAGAACATAACAATTTTCCAACATTATACATGATTACACAAATGCACTCCAAGTAAATGTCAATGAATACTTTTCTTTTGAATTCTTGTTTCCAAGTTTCCAAATATTCAACATCAACATCATCATCATGATTAAGTTTATTTTTGATAGTATTGAATAATCTCAAGATGGTTGAACAGACAAGTACCCCACCATTAATATTTAATTTCAAAGATTCACACATCATATAAACGAGTCCAATATAATGATTTTTTTCCTTGCTCAACAAATATAGGAACTTTTTATTTTTCATCAATTCCTCTTGATTACATTCACAATTCCTACCTTCATTGTTACAAAATTCGTTTGATAATAAAATTGGATCTAGGTTCATGCCATCTTCAAGTTCTTTTTCCAACCTCTCAAATAATATTTTCTTGAATAGTCTATCACCTTTACAATATTCTTCCTCTCCCGCCACTCCTTTTCCTCCTTCTTTGCATGACAGTGATCTGCTCACATTATAACTTATTTTTGGATTAATATTCAAAACAACATGTTTGATTAGTTTACCATAAAAATCGAAATAATCTTCATCCACTCTATAAATCAATTGTTGAACTATTTCTTCTAGAACACGAATATTGTCATTTTCTTTCAATGATTTATTGTTAATGTAGTCAACTATTTCATTAGATACATCCTCAAGCTTATGATCAATCGATTTGACTTTGTCAAGTAAATTTGATACCTGTTCACAAATGGATTCAATTGGTTCCAAGTTTCTTTTAGTAACAGATTGAGAAGATTCAAACCCAGTTGCTGTAAGCTTCAAACTAAGATCAGGTGTACCGTTTTTGTTGCAGTGTAAATTGACTAAAGTTGCAGTTGAAGTCATTGTTATTTATTGTTCAGTTAAAATAAAAAATATAAATGTGCGGGTATATATATATTAGTGATTTCTGAAAGATTGAATATGAAAATTTTATTATCGTGCCACAACTGGCATTGTTTAGTTTCCAATTCCGTAAAATGACACAAGATTTTTGTATATAGCACGATTATTAAGTTTTTTAGCATGGTGGAACAGGAGAGACCGTTCTGGGAACACAAAATTTTAACCCATGCTATTTGTTGATTGACCAATTAAAATCGCGAATTT